TTTATGAGAAATGTACGACTTTAATGTGAAACATTCAGAGTTTTTTCTCTTGTTGTGTTTGTTTGAAGCTGCTTCCTGTTGGCTTCAGCTGTTTGGAGTTTCCATTTTCTAAACTTCTACATTCTGAACCTTCTTCAGCTCTGAACAGATGATGAAACACTGAATGATTTCAAGCACTTTGTCTAATAAACTTACATCTTTCATTCTTTATACAGATTGATGGACTGTGGTTTGTCAGAGATCAGCTGTGATTATCTGGCAGCAGCACTGAAGTCCAACCCCTCCCATCTGAGAGAGCTGGACCTGAGCTACAACAACAAGCTGCAGGATTCAGGAGTGAAGCATCTGTGGATGTCCAGACACCACTTTCATTCACAGATTGGCTGTGGTTTGTCAGAGATCAGCTGTGATTATCTGGCAGCAGCACTGAAGTCCAACCCCTCCCATCTGAGACGGCTGGACCTGAGTAATGACTCCTTTCGACTAAGAACAAGCTGCAGGATCCAGGAGTGAAGCATCTGTGTGGTTTCCTGGAGAGTCCAGGATGTAAACTTGAAACTCTGAGGTCAGTCAGCATGTTTTAGTTGTGCTGAGATGAATATGATGTGAAAGTTGTGCTGACACTAAACTGCAGACATCAGGCTGATATTATACTGATCCACACTGAGGATCTTCATGGTAAAGTCTGTTTTCTTCTTCTCTGGTTTAGTCCATTGACTGCAGCAGAACAATGTTCACATTTCAAACAGTGATACTCAACGTATGGCCCGCGGCCCACACGCGGCCTGCCCACCTTTCCTGATTCAGAGAGAGGGGACCCTGATGAACTGTGTAGTGTTCTTCCTCACAGTTCTGGCCCATGGCACGGGGCCCACGACAGAACAAAGGGAGTCCCGAACCCACCCAGTGGTTGCGTGCTGGATTCAGAGCCGGGACGTGTTGAGTGAGGAGTAACTCACGGCCTGACATTAACTGTCTAGCTTCTTCCTCACAGTTCTAGTTATACTCTTATAGTACACGGCGACACGATCCATGCATATTATTAAATCCATCCACAGGTCTCGCACCTTGACGTGTAAGTACAAGGATCAGTAAAATGGCAAGGCACCACATGAACCCATCGAGCAGCGAGAACACGTGCAGAGCAATATTTCTAAACTCTGATTACTACGAGCTTTATCAATTTTCTGTGAACACAGTTAGACTTGATCAGAGATGTGATCGATCACAGTACGAGGTATCAATACTCCCTCTCTTTTTAGTACAGTGCGTCTTATGGTCGTGAAAATACGGTAGTTCATCCATGTTTGGACTTCTTCTGTGCTTTAAATGCATAAATCAGTCCGTGCATTATTACATTGCTCCGCCCATCAAAAAGCTTGCGCATTCGCGATTATATCGCATATCGTTAGTTACTGGACTGACGATTGTTGGTTGTAAATTTTTTTACGTACCACACAACCTTAATACATATTACATATAGGGCTGCCACGATTAGATCGACTATCAAAATCGTCAACGACAAATTTAATAGTTGACACGCCGTTTAAAGCCTCGTAAGATCATGAAAGATGGAGGAATAAGTAGTAGGATTTAACAGTGTAATAACAGACTGAAACAGAAGATGGCAGCACTGCATGTACAAGGATGCCAGCGGAGGATGCATTTGAAGCTCGATTACGTTACAACGACGCAACGAAGGCTTTCCAAATTCGAAGACTTCTGCAAATGCAGCCGACAAATGCGTCCTACTTTCCCCCAGATTTGAAGGATGGGTCGGGTGAATCCTTTGTGGCCCAACTTATCCCAGAATTCATAGCACGGCTCAGCCAATTTCAGTTTCCAACAATAGCGGCAGCTACTTAGTTTTAATATTACTCTCTCTAAATTCTGTGAATCTCTGGCAGCTCGAATTGTGTGAAGTGTTTCCAGCTGGGCATCGCGTACCTGGAGTCGAGTGTTTAAACTGATGCAAGAAACTATACATTTTTAGACATAAGTTGTAACGGCCGCCGTTTTCGTTGTGTGTATTTATTACACAGCGTGCTGCGAGGAAAAGCCTGTTTTAACGTTTGAGTCTAAGGTTTATTTTTTAGCACCTGACTGCTCTTTTTTGCTTCTCATCTGTAAACACTGTGCATCTTTCACGTGATTCAGTTTATTTTGAAAAGTCTCAGCAGGATCTTGAGCTTTACTGCGAAAGGTTTATGTGGAACAAGCGGACATGCAGTGGTTTTAGCATCGTTGTTGCTAACGACAACGAATAAAAACAAACGCTTGTCTGTCTGTAGTGTGGTTATATTAAATGTAAGAGAAAGAGAGAACTTTAAGAAATTAACTAAAGTGACCATCAAAATAATGAAAAAATATTGCCGTAAACTGTTTATTTTGTGACACGACGAAACAAACAATAGCGTAAAATGAAACGATAGACGTTTTTATATCGTCATCCGATATACAGTGGGGCAAAAAAGTATTTAGTCAGCCACCGATTGTGCAAGTTCCCCCACTTAAAATGATGACAGAGGTCAGTAATTTGCACCAGAGGTACACTTCAACTGTGAGAGACAGAATGTGAAAAAAAAATCCATGAATCCACATGGTAGGATTTGTAAAGAATTTATTCGTAAATCAGGGTGGAAAATAAGTATTTGGTCAATAACAAAAATACAACTCAATACTTTGTAACATAACCTTTGTTGGCAATAACAGAGGTCAAACGTTTACTATAGGTCTTTACCAGGTTTGCACACACAGTAGCTGGTATTTTGGCCCATTCCTCCATGCAGATCTTCTCGAGAGCAGTGATGTTTTGGGGCTGTCGCCGAGCAACACGGACTTTCAACTCCCGCCACAGATTTTCTATGGGGTTGAGGTCTGGAGACTGGCTAGGCCACTCCAGGACTTTCAAATGCTTCTTACGGAGCCACTCCTTTGTTGCCCGGGCGGTGTGTTTTGGATCATTGTCATGTTGGAAGACCCAGCCTCGTTTCATCTTCAAAGTTCTCACTGATGGAAGGAGGTTTTGGCTCAAAATCTCACGATACATGGCCCCATTCATTCTGTCCTTAACACGGATCAGTCGTCCTGTCCCCTTGGCAGAAAAACAGCCCCATAGCATGATGTTTCCACCCCCATGCTTCACAGTAGGTATGGTGTTCTTGGGATGCAACTCAGTATTCTTCTTCCTCCAAACACGACGAGTTGAGTTTATACCAAAACGTTCTACTTTGGTTTCATCTGACCACATGACATTCTCCCAATCCTCTGCTGTATCATCCATGTGCTCTCTGGCAAACTTCAGACGGGCCTGGACATGCACTGGCTTCAGCAGCGGAACACGTCTGGCACTGCGGGATTTGATTCCCTGCCGTTGTAGTGTGTTACTGATGGTGACCTTTGTTACTTTGGTCCCAGCTCTCTGCAGGTCATTCACCAGGTCCCCCCGTGTGGTTCTGGGATCTTTGCTCACCGTTCTCATGATCATTTTGACCCCACGGGATGAGATCTTGCGTGGAGCCCCAGATCGAGGGAGATTATCAGTGGTCTTGTATGTCTTCCATTTTCTGATGATTGCTCCCACAGTTGATTTTTTCACACCAAGCTGCTTGCCTATTGTAGATTCACTCTTCCCAGTCTGGTGCAGGTCTACAATACTTTTCCTGGTGTCCTTCGAAAGCTCTTTGGTCTTGGCCATGGCGGAGTTTGGAGTCTGACTGTTTGAGGCTGTGGACAGGTGTCTTTTATACAGATGATGAGTTCAAACAGGTGCCATTCATACAGGTAACGAGTGGGGGACAGAAAAGCTTCTTACAGAAGACGTTACAGGTCTGTGAGAGCCAGAGATTTTCCTTGTTTGAGGTGACCAAATACTTATTTTCCACCCTGATTTACGAATAAATTCTTTACAAATCCTACCATGTGGATTCATGGATTTTTTTTTTCACATTCTGTCTCTCACAGTTGAAGTGTACCTCTGGTGCAAATTACTGACCTCTGTCATCATTTTAAGTGGGGGAACTTGCACAATCGGTGGCTGACTAAATACTTTTTTGCCCCACTGTATATAGTAACTATGAAGTCTAATATGCCCTAGTAAGCTATAGTATTTTTTCCTTTGGGAAGGTACCATCTGTGTAGTCTGCAATTCTGTTGAAGAAAGATGTTGAATCTATTTAATTATTTAAAAATAATTGATTTCTGTGCATTTTTTTACACTGCATCAAATTAAGTTGATTACGTCGATTAAGCACATCAGGCGGAGGGTGGGGGGTGGTTCCCTATTTTTTTGCTGGGAGTTGGCAACGCCTATTAGGTTGTTAATATTTCTGCTAAGTACTCTTTAAAATACCAGAATAGGGAGGATGGTGTAGGTTTAAGTTTATTAGCTATCAGTATTGCTGAACTATGAAATATTTTGGGTGCAGTGTATTTTTTGCATACAGGTATAACAGAATAGCTTTAGTGTTTTGTTTTTTTAAAACTTGAGTATGAACTTATACAAAATGCAGCAAGATATTAAAAAAACAAAGTTTTATTCATTAAAAAATACACTATATCGGATTCATATTGGTATCGGCAGATATCGTTATCGGTCATAAAAAAGTGGTATCATACCATCTCTACTATCAACATGTCCTCCCCAAGAGGACAATGAATCACCCCCTCCCACAAAAGAGAGATAACAAAAAAAGAAATCCTCAAGTGTTGACCCAACCCCCCCCCCAAAGACCAGCTGCTAACATTTTGGCCTAAAGGGGAAGAACCAAAAATGCCTTTTTCAGACAGAAGAAATTATTATTAGTTTGAACTAAGAATCATACAAAGCTCCAAGAACAAAAACAGAGCTGGAAAGAAGCAGATCAGAGTAGTGTAACATCATCTGCCAAACCTCTCAGTAACCTTCAAATGGATCAAGGATCAACTCGTAACCAAACCACCAGCTACATCCTGACATTCTTCTCCTGCAGGCCGGAAACCAGCCAGATGATCAGACTCACCCTCGTTCTGGATCCAGGGCGATGGCTCTCGGCTGGTCCAGCTCCTGCCAGAACAGAACCTTCCTCAACGATCCGTCCAGCTCAGCCACTTCAATCCGATTGGTTTCTGAGTCTGTCCAGTAAAGTTTACTCCCTAACCAATCACACGCCAGTCCATCTGGGGAGGCCAGACCTGATATCACAGTCTCCAATGCGCCAACCCCCGACTGGTTGAAGAAGGTGCGTTTGATGGCCTCCTCACTCACATCACTCCAGTAGATGAGGCCCTTGGAGAAGACATAGTCCACAGCTGCGGCGTCCTCCAACCCTCCAACCACCACCGTGGCGTTAGCCTTCTCATGTGCCGCATCCACGAGCCGAAGATCTCGCCTATTCGCATATAGTAATAGAGGCTCACCTGGAAGACACGGAAATATCATTAGGATTGCACATATCAAAAAAACAAAGACATAAACATAGTTTTACAACATAATGCCTCATGAAACTGCCCTGAACCTCCACCGTTTGGATGTAAACAACAGATGTTTCAGAAAGCAGCAGCCATGCTGTATTCCTAGAATATTTAAAGGTAGAATGGGAGAGAGAGCCTTCAGTTTTCAGGCACCTCTTCTGTGAAACCAGCTTCTAGTTTGAATTTGGGAAACAGACACTATCTCTGCTCTTAAGATTAGGCTTAAAACTTGCCTTTTTGCTAAAGCATATAGTTAGGACTGGATCAGGTGACCCTGAATCCTCCCTTAGTTATGCTGCAATACGTGTAGGCTGCTGGGGGATTCCCATGACGCATTGAGTATTTCATTTTCAGTCACCTTTCTCACTCAACATGTGTTAATAGACCTCTCTGCTGAATCACACTTGTTATTAATCTCTGGCTCTCTTCCACAGCATGTCCTTCATCCTGTCTTCTTTCTCTCACTACAACCGGTCGCAGCAGATGAGCCTGGTTCTGCCAGAGGATTCATCCGGTTAAAAGGGAGTTTTTCCTTCCCACTGCGCCAAAGTGCTTGCTCATAGGGGGTCATAATTGTTGTATTATTTTAGGGTCTACTTTACAATATAACGTGCATTGAGGCGACTGTTGTGATTTGGCGCTATATAAATAAATAAAATAAATCGAATTGAAAATTGAATTGAATCATGTTTCTTTTCCTTTAACACAATGCTGGTGCTTAATCTAGAACTGGTTCTGATTGATCCCAGTGCCACCCGTCAGGTGCTACCTGAGCATGAGGTTAGAGCAACTAGAATCAGTGATTTCAGGAGAAATACATCAGTCATCTCCACTATGATTTGCTTTCCATGGAAATTATCCAAACTTCTTCTAGAATTGTTATATAATCCTTTTTAAACTGTCAAAATGTAGACTGAACTCTGGACTCTTAAGCAGCTCCAGCAGCACTACAGATCTGCATCTGGGAAAAGATCCGGATCCAGTGCCAAACGTGGGACTGTCTGCATGTCTCCACCAAAAACGGTTGGTGTTTGTGCAAAAAAAAAAAAAAAATGCAACACCAGCAGAACACGGCAATGGAGGATCTCCTTTAAGAACGTCACCAGTGACTGCAGACCCAGCCCACACATTGTGTCCACCATGACATCTGAGTAGGGCTGGGCGATATATCGAGTTTTTAAAAAATATCGATATATTTTCATACGAGATATAAGATGTGACAATATCGTTTATATCGATATAGTCTATGTTACGTTATAATTATACTTGTGGAGCCGCAGGTTTGCCTCTCTTTCGTCCACTTTTGTCTCTACGCAACGTTACTCGGCCTCGCCTCTCCTTCACTGAACACAACTCCGCCTCCCCCATAGCTTCACCTGCAGGCAATGACAAGATGAAAGCGGAAAATCTCCGTTAGCGAGTTACCGCGGATCGTCCCGTGCGTGGGGCTGGACGGCGTCAACGTGTTAGCGAGCTAACCGCGCTAACGAGCTAACCGCGCTAACGACATGCAGCCAGGAGGGGCTGCACGGCCTAAAATCCTTTCATTTTCTCAAAAATCGACAGTGCGCCTTATGTATGAATTCTGGTTGTGCTTACTGACCGCGAACCGATTTTATGTGGTACACAGCGCTCAGCAATCTGTCAAAAAATGTTTTAATATGACTTTGCTAAGCTACGGAGCTGCACCGCTTGATGGATTGTCGGAGGATTACGGCTACCGAGGAGGAGCCTCGCGGAGTGATACGTACTGTGTGTGTAAGGACCACAAATGGCACCTGTTCAGAGACGTGGTGCAGCTGTGAAATCTGTCTCTTTGTTATTACGCTCAGCGTCTATTAGTTTACATTTTGACTGCACAATTGTGAGCTTTTTGTTATGCACAAAAACAACATTGTTTTCTTTTATTTATGGACCATGATTATTTAATAAATGCTGATAATTTATTTTTGAGTAATTTCTTCATATACATCTACGCTGTATGTAAATAAAAGTGCCCGTGTGACATCTGGGACACAGTGTGACTAAGAACTCTCTTTTTGTTCTTAACTTATGGCTTTAAAAAAAAAATCTAGATATATATCTTATATCGCCATCCAGCTAAAAAATATCGAGATATGAATTTTGGGTCATATCGCCCAGCCCTACATCTGAGACAGCACTGCTCTGTGATAGTCATCTCTTGAACCTCTTGAAATGTGGACTGGTTCCCAACAAACACTAATGCAGAACCAGCTCTGTCCCAGCAGCAGAAAAAGTGTTACCCACGCTGTGGAAATATGGTCCAATAAGAGGCCCGCCATCTTCTCAGCAGCCATGCCTCCCCCTTTAGCCTTGATGTTTTCTGTTCAACAACCTGACTGAAGCAGAACGAGCTCTGAAAGCAAGCAGCGCAGTCCAAGCATGACACGGCGTGCTGACGAGCAGCCGGAGACTCTCAGCGGCATCCTGGCTCTGAGCCCAACCCACAATCTGACACATCGAGGCGACCATGAGTCCCACGGCACCCGCTGCCTGCTGGCCTGTTTTCACTCCACTCGAAGGGGGTGGGGGTGGAGGGGGGTTTCCTTCTCCAAATATTTACTGAACCAAGACATCAAAACTTCAATTTCAGGTCCCTCCAGGCTGCTTACAAGCCGAACCGTGCCAGGAGGAAACATGAGGAAATCCGACTCTTGGGACTCGCTGACTGCACACAGAGCTGATGTTTACCTCCATTAATCTGCTGAGCGCGTCTTCACTGACTGACTGACTGTTCTACAAATAGAGACAAATGTCCAACATCAGAGCCCAAAATAATCAAGACACTGCAGACACAGCTGAAAGCTGCAGGTAGTACACGGACTGTGAGCAACCACGCGTGAGGTAAAGACAAAACTGTCAGCCTCAAATTTCAATCTGATAAGTTTACTTCTAAAAAAAAAATGAGCGAATGGGGTTTAATACTATTAGACTTACTTTTCTGAGTTGCTTTTGAGCCTGAACCCATCTTATATCGCAACATCAGTTGGAAAGAACTTAATTTGTTAAGTAAAGTGACTTTCTGCCGTCTCTTATTCACAAGAGGTTAAGAGCGTGTAGCTCAACACGTTTGATCTGGCAGACTTTTTGAAAAATAATCAGAAGATCAAAATGAATCAATGAAAGAACAAACAAAATCCTTCATTTTCAGTGCACGTGATGATCTGAGCTGCGATTGAAGGTTTGGGAGAACCACAAAGATTTTTAAACTCAAACTGGGCGGTCTGAAGTTTGGGAATGTCTGGTTTACAGTGAGGTGTCAAAAAACTGCACTTAAATTATCCTTGGCAGAAAAAGTTAAACAGACAACCTGAACTACGACATCTCAGCCGCTTGGTGAGGTCATCATCCACACAGTGAACAGACGCTCGTCTGATCAGTTCATGGGTTTGACCGTGAAAAGTTACTGTATGATTATTTTAACTCTTCTAACTCAGCAAAGAGCTGGACTTATTTACAGGATCTGTACCCATATGTGTTGCCATATTTTCACAATAGTGGAGATTTGCACGAGTCACCTGCAAGAATTTTACATACCCTGTTTTTCTTTCATTCCTACTCACATTTAAATATAAAGTTGAAATGAAGCTGAAACCTAAACAAAACTCATGAATAATCAAAAAGGGAATTGATGGAGAAATTTCAGGCAGAATATATAATGACTCCGGTATGTGTATGATCTGATCAATAACCACCCAATCATCAGGCTGCCTTACCACCACGTCCCATTTAAGTCGTGAGTCAGAAAAAGAAACTCGAGAATGCAGGTGGTGGGATTAGTTAAACCCAGCTTTTTTAAACTTGGCTATAGTGCTGAACCGCAGCACAGCAGAGAGCAACGTGAACACTCTGAAGCCTCTGTGATCTACATACGTCATTGCTTCATTAATATTTTTAATCCTCAACTTAAACTCATTTTGTAACGAGTTTAGGTTCTTTAGTTTAGTTTTATTCTGTTCATAATGTTTTAAAGATGTTATTAAAAAAACATTAATATTAGATTCATGTCCTTTATAGTGAGTGCTGGCCTAGAACTTGTGCAGAAAATTGTCTTTCTAGCAATTTTTTCTATAATTCCTCGCTCATTATCAATTGCTTTTAATCACATTTTTTATAGCCTTTATTAATAATCTGAGTTTAAATGAGTGTTTTCCGTTGCGTTGGTACAACTTGCTTATTTCAAATAAATATATTTTAATTCCCACTTTTTCTGTCTTTTATATTCCTGATGTACAGTGAATCAATGTTCATTCATCCCAGATGCAGAGTCTATAGAAACAAGTCATAGAAGACAAGAAACAAGATAAAAACTAATCAAATACGCCCCAATCACCATCCCACAAAGTGATAACAACACCAGTGTCTCCACAACAAAGACTGACAAACATGCAGCTCCAAATCTTATATCTGTTAATCCCACTCAGTGTTGGACTTTGAATTCTTGCTGCAATCTGAATTTAACCAACTGTTAAGCATTTGTTCTGGTACTGAAGATCCAGAAATGCTCATTTAAAAGACACTTACACCTTACATTTGTGCTTTGGTCTCATTTTATCCTTAATATATAATAAATTATACATTAAGGACATTGTTATCATCACCGTTTTTTAAACTGTTGCAACAAAAGAAATTACCAAATATAGGACAAAGACAGCATTTTGTATATTTATCTGATTGTCCATTTCTGGTGTAATTTGATAACAAAAATATGGGGAAAATAACTAAATACATAGCAGATAAACCTGATATTTAAAAATATTTGTTTTCCAAATGTTTAACACACATAATTATTGGGTAACAGTTTGACACTGAAATCTGTGTAATGAATATGTGATATGATAAATGAATGTCTCTCACTGACCTATAAACTTTCTTTACATAAGATGGCTTTATGTGTTTTATTTTTCATCCTCTAGTGTTTACTGGATATTATCAGGAGCTCCTCAGACCAAGATGATGATCTGTATGATATCGTAAGTGTGAGATGTACTACACAAATAAAGTTAGCCCTGTTCAGTTGCTGTGATATAGTATTTCTGCTCTATTGCACAGCCGTGCTGTGTAGCAAACACTAAACTAAATTTAACGGAGCATTTTTAATGGCGATGACACCTTCATGAATTTACTTTATTCGGTTTACTTTTCTAAAGAGATCCGCCTCGGACTCATTCTTTACATCCTTTAGATCCAGCTAGCAGTTCGCTTTCATTGTAATCCGAGTTTAGAGGGGTTTTTTTTGCAGTTTTATTGTTTCTTTACTGTCAGATTTATACAAATACATTCATTTCTCACACGTGTCCAGCCGTGTAGCTGCTGTTTTGTGTGTAATACTGTACATTTATTGGCCTTGCTTTTCTTTATTCTGTTCATTGTTATCAATAAAGTTATTTTTCCATGTAGATGGTTTATTAGCTATTAGCTCCCTGATGCTAACCAGCTCGCTCCCTAGCATTTGTTATGCTAACTGCTGTTGAGCCCGATCCAGCCTGTTTTTAAGTTACAAAACACAACAAGGAGCGACCAACTGCGCCAAATACATATTCCCGGGACAAAGGGGTGCGCTGGAAGGGAAGCTGGCGGTGCTGCGAGTAGTCTCTGGTGGGGTATTTTCCAGCTAACAGGGCTGTTTGTGGTTTCTCCTCCAGCAGCAGCAGGCTAAGCTAGCTCGCTCCACTCGGGAGAAATCCGACCCGGAGGCCGAGCTCCAAACATCCACAGAGAAGGGAAAAAGCTCCCCTGGGCTGCTAACAGCACTTTTTCGCGTCTTTTAAGCGAGGGGACGTGTGGGTAAAAGTCGCAGTGTGGACACAAACTCACCTCGTATGAGAAAACAAAAACTACACAACAACAGACTCCGCAGCGCGACACCCATCTTTCTCCCGATTCTCGGCCCAGCCGCGGCGGCTCGTCAGCGGAGTATTCCCATTGCTGCGGCCGCTTCCTTGGCTAAAAAAAAGCGGATTTCCCAGAATATTCAGGTCGATGTTCGGCTCCGGTTCGCATTACACCGTGCCCGCTTCCATCCCGGCTGGCTGCTCGCTAACTGCGTCGGATAAACTCTCGGTGTCTCACATTGTCCTGCAGGAGCTCCGTCGTCTCCTTCCGCTGTGAGAAAGCTGCCCCCCTTCTCCAGCCTCCGCCTCCACCGCCACCTCGCTGCCCGGCTCTCTATTGTTGTTGCGCCTCACAGCCGCTGGTACGCTCACAACACGGAAACGTCCCGCAGAACCGACTTCGAACCCCTACAGAACCCCACCCCCGAACACAGACGTTAACCCCACATTCCCGCGGGACTACTTTATCACACGGACAGGGGCCCCACAAAACAGGGCCCCAATATCATCCAACGGCAGGGGCGTTTCCAGGGGTTTTACATCAGGTGGCACAAGGCAAGGGGGCTCAGGAAATCATTATATACTATATCTGCTTTTTTAAACCAAATTCAGTCATTTGATAAAAAGCTTTTAATCACCTTTGTTTGTTAAATCGCTGCATCACAACATGTATAAAAATCCAAGTCTATGTAATGCCATAAAACATCAGAAGAAACACATTTTCACCAGAAACCCACCATAATCACAGATATAGATGAATCTGACACTTTTATTTGATTTTCACACAAAAAAACCATTATGTGGATTATTAAAACGTGTGAAATCTGATATTGTAAATAAACCTATATAATGTGATAGATTTTACAGCACTTTTGATTCTAAATTTTCTTTCTAAATTTTGGATTTTTACACTTTTTACCTATAGCATCTGATTTCAGGTTTTCTCAGTTTCTTCACACCCTATAAAGTTTACATGTTGCATTTTTCTATTTTTGATTTGCATTTTAATGTTTTTTGCCTTAGAGATGCAAGGTTGAGATGGGCAACAGCAGACAAGAAACAGTGGATAGACATGGAGCTGCCAGGCAGGATGAAGTACATGAAGAGGTGATGGAGAAAAATGATAGGGATAGGCCAAGATGGAGGCAGATAACCTGTGGTCGCCCCAAAAGCGACTTTGAATTTTATTAATTTCATGAAAGTAGCAGCAGTAGCATATAAACAAGAAAATTACTCTGGGATTTATAATTTTTACATCTCAGTGTTCTGTTGATAATAACTTTTTACAATATTATTATTGCTTTATCATTATTATCATTATTATTATTAAGATTTTATTCATGAAACATCAGCCCCAGTTTCAGGTTTCAAACATCAGAAAATGCAAGATTTCTCAAAAGCTTTCAGAAGGAGAAAGTTCAATGGGGATGTGAGGCCTCGGATTACAGAGTACACTTCCTATTTCAGAGTAACAGCTTTTCTAAAACCTCTTGCTCATTTAATAAAGTGTGGATCACTCTCGTCTTATCTAATGAATGTATCTGTGGGAGATGTGGAAGTGAAAGCAGGACTGTAAAATTACAAGCAAGGTGGACGGGACGCAAATGTCCAGCTAAGAGGAAAGGAAAGCATCTCATTTAAAAAATTTCAGGGTTTAATCACCAGGTCAGCAAAACTGCCTCACAGTCTCAGGAATATGAGGTAACTTGTTAGCACATTAACTACCACATACCTGATCACGTGCTTGTCACGAGTTCAACCACAATATACATCACACTATTTGATCGGTGACTGAGTTCATGGGATTGTTCATAGGATGAAATTTCAAGTGCTGAAAAACTCATTTAAGCTCTGTTAAAAACTTGAATCATTTGAGCTTCAGTATCATGAGATAAATCATTACTTGAATAAACTGCACCAATTTATTGTTATTATCTAGATTCAGAGCAACAGGAACAAAATCTGAAACCATGGATGTTTGATCTGTTTAATGATAATTCACTGAATAAAACTTTAAAAGTGCATTCTGGGTAAACTTTCAAGACTCACGTCAGCATGTGTGATCAGTGGCTGCTCCCTGAAGTCAGAGCAAAGGTCTCTTTTTTATCTACATTTGATGCCAGGCTCATCTTTTAGCCACGATTCTTTAGGAGTCAAAATCATTCCTGAAACTGAGCAGATGATCACTTTCTGCCAAGCAGCGTTGACAGCAGCTCTGAAGCACCTGTTGCATAATAAACAGCTTTACTACAAATGTTGAGGTTGTGGACTTCATCAGGGTCATCATAAAACACATTACAGGCAACATTTCAAAGGGTAATAAGGTAAGTATGCTTCTGGTTAGATGTATATGATGTTTGTTATATTTATGATAGCCCCAATGAAGGCCACAAGCAGAAACACATTAGAGTATTAAAGTTTATTTTTATGCAGTCATGACCAAAGGTTTTTCGCAGTGCCACATATTTAGTGTTTTATATACATTTTGCTGTTTCAGTTTTTATCTAGCTTTTTTTTGTACGTGTTTGTGATCTAGTGAAGAACAATGGTAAGAAATCCAGTTTCAAACACTTACAGGAGAGTCAGTGTAATATATGGTTTAAGTCCACTATAGTAAATATTACAGTGCTGAGCAAACATTCTTGATGTGAAGTTTGGGAAGCTTCCTGGCCAAGGATCCAAAATGTTTATTTGATGATCTCGAAGCCTCTTAGTTACCACTTTTATCTTGCGACACAAGACAAAAGAGATCCTGCTGGAAGATCATCAGTCTGAGGATGTTTTGAGTCGAATAGTGATAATCTTGGAACTGTGATAAAGCAGGAGGATCACCATCTAGGGCCCAGAAACTGACAGACAGAAGGGTCGACCCTGTAAACGTTAACTTTTTGCATACATATTAGCCCTGTGCCATATTTACGGCCAATAAAAGTCTTTGAAACTTGTGAAATGCTTATGACTGTTCTTCACTAAATCATAAAAAAAATTTAACCTTCTTCAAAATAATTTTTGTGCAGCATACATAAATATATCTGGAAAAGTGAAAATATAAAAACTTGAAATTTTGAGGAATTCTCAAACAATTCTCAACTGTTTAACCTGCACCAAGAATTTGTCCAAAGTTGGAGCTCAGCTGGACATGATAGAAAAGAAGCTTGATCAAGAACAGCATCGACCAAAAACTCAAGTTTATGAGAAATCTGCACTAACATAAGGCTGAGACCTTTGGGAGTTTGTTTGCAGTTTTTAACAGAGATTAAATGTGGGTTTTTTTTCAGCCCTGAAAGAAGTAAAAATACTCAAAAACTTATAATACAAGTTAGATAAATCTTAACTGTGACAGCAAGTTACTCTGAAAATACACATTGTATGAAGGTAGAAGCATGCATGGCTCCATGATATTTTTGTTGCTGTAATGAACCTGCTCCCAGTTTGGTTAATACAGAACAGTAATAAATGTGATGGTGTGATAAATGTGAAATTTTATTTAATTTGGAACAACTTTACAAGATTAATTTTGATTATTTGTTGGTAGATCACCCAGACGATAAAAAATCACAGTGGTTCTATTTAAAAGCAAACACACTCAAGCAAAAATAAATCTGCAGACTCAGAAACTTTTCAAAAATCAACAGTTTTTTAATCCTTACAAGAACGAAACATCAAAGTTCAAACTTATGCAAAAGCATCACTTCACAAAACAAGACCAAACTATTACCATCCATGTAATTATTGATTAGACAATCAAAGTAAAAATCAGAGCAGTATCAGTGAAAACGCCTTATTGGTGCAGCTTCAGTTTATCGGACTGCTGCTGCTGCCACCTGGTGGTGAAGTGACGCTATAGCAGTCTCGTTTCTGCACATCCAGTACAATACAAACGTCATTATAGGAAAATAGTGCGCAGCAAGTGTCCTCTTACTTATGAAAAAAAATCAGCAGATCATAATCATTAAAAAAAAAAAAAACAGGATACAATAGTGCATCGATTTTCAAAGGATTGCATCCATCGTTTGAATATTTATCCACATGTGAAATACAAAATACAAAAACACCACAGTGAGAGAGTGAGTCTGACATCTACACCGGTCAGGTGATTTAAGAAGCAATCACAGGCTCGTATGGCTGAAGCGTGTGGGAGGAAGAAGACATGCAGGTGTATACACAAAGGGCCCCGCGACCCCGCGGCGAATCAGAAGAAGGCCAGAATCTGAATCAGAGTCCGCTTGTATAGAGTTTCTTCTCGCCAGTCCACTTCAGAAGCTTCCTGAGTTTCTACGAGTAAAAATATTGCTGTTTGTTCTTTGTTCCATCGTCAGCTGAAGTTTTGGACCAATGAGCTTCCCAGCAGAACTCTGAGCTCATCATGTGATCTCAGAGGCCACAGAAGGGCAGTGTTACCGCCTAAAGTCTGAAGGCTGCTTCAAAGTTGCACTATCACTTAATAAGACTTAAAAAGATCAAGTAACAACTGAGGAATTTGTCTCATGAGAAGTCAAATAATCTAAAAACATAAAAGCCCAAAAAATATCTCAAAGTTTGATTTTTTTTTTCACAAAACAAAAACACCTCAAATAAATTCTAAGAATAGTTTTTAAATTAAGAGATATTTTGTCTTCATTGTGAGAACTTTTCAATATAAGTCTACCATTTTTTTCTTTTGTTAACACCAATAACAGAAAAATTAAGGTATGAAGTCCATGATTGGTCTGTGATGAGTTTAAGGAGGCGGAGTCTGAAATGGAATGAGGTTGTCATCTTTGTACTTTACCTACTGACTGTATATAAAAGATGGACATGGTCACTTAAGGTGAATAAAGCTGAAATAATCAACAGTGAAGACTTTAAAAATCATGTGACTGGTGAGTTTGTTGAATGACTTCTTTGTTAGAAAATCTGGAATGGGCGGAGTTTGTTCACTATTGTTATAAACATAAAGTTCAGCTAGCTAAGCCAGCTTAGCTTAGCTTTTACAGGGTTTTTCTTTCCTCAAAATTGGTCTTATGACCATTTTTTTAAAAAAATGATCTCTTTCAAAACCCAAACATATGCAGGAAATTTTGTTTTCAGATGTTAATTGAAATGGCACTCATGAGTTTTTGATAGTGCTAGCTGAAACAGCATGGAGGCCATAATTTCTCTACTTAGAAAAAAAGTTACTAAAGTATGAACACACAGCACCCCTTGGTTTCTCTTTCAGCTTGCCTCCAGTTTTAAAATAGCAACATGGCAATGGTCACAAACCAACAGGTAATATCAATATCTGTGTCTATCTTTTACATAACATTGGTGGTTTGGGTGTTAAAAACAACAGAAAAAAAATGTTGCTAGCAAAGCAGTGCGCTATTTTTTAGAAGATCAAAAAGTGACAG